ACTCATTGTGTGAGGAATATCTATTTGTGTTTTATTGACTATGCAAAGGCGTTTGACCATGTGAATCAGAAGAACCTGTGACTAACTCTGAGAAGAATGGGAATACCAGAACACTTGTCTGCTTATGCGAAACCTGTACTTGGACCTGGAGGCAGTCATCAGTAAAGAGCAGGGAAACACTGCATGCTTCAAAATTGGGGAAGTTGTACACCCGACATGTGTCCTATATCATATTTTCAATCTATATGTAGAACAGATCATGTGGGTGGCTGGGCTCTATGATGAGGAGTGTGACATCAGGTTTGGAGAAACCCTCATCAGCAACCTCCGTTACACAGATGGCAAAACCCTGCTTGCTGAAACTGAGGAGGACTTGAAGTGCTTACTGCAGAAAGTCAAGGACTGAAACTTTCAGTATGGATTGAAGCTCAACATCAAGAAAACAAAGTTTCTCACCACGGGGCCTATTGTCAGGATCATGACAGATGGGGAAGAGATTGAAATAGTTAACAGCTTCAGTTTGCTTGGCTCCACCATCAAACACTCTTGGTACCAACAGCCAGGAAATCAAAAGATAATGATTTGCTTTGGGAAAGTCTGCTGTCTGTGACCTCTCTAGAGTACTGAAGAGCAACAATGTCAGTCTGGAGACTAAGGCACACTTGATTCAGGACATAATCTTTATAATTTTTTGCTATGCTTCAGAAAACTGTACAATGACTAGGGAAGATCAAAAGAGAATTGTTGCCTTTGAGCTGTGGTGCTGAAGAAGAGTACTGAATATACCATGGGCTGCTAGGGAAACAAACAGATTCATCCTACAGGGGGTGAAACCAGGCTGCTTCTTGGTCGCAAGGATACTGAAGCTTTGCCTTACATACTTTTGGGCATGTTGCAAGGAGAGACCAGTCCTTGGAAAGGGACATCATGCTTTGAAGCGTGGAAGGACAGCACAAGAGAGGAAGACCCTCAATGAGATGGATTGATTCGGTGACTCAGGTAATGAGGATAGGTGTGTCAGAGACAATAAGCTTGGCACAGGATAAAGCAAGGTCTGTTGTTGTACATAGGGTCACTATAAGCCCCAAGCTACTTGATGCCACATAACAACTACAACAACAATATATCTTAAAATTAAATCAACAAAAACCTTAATCATTTTCACAATATATCATGACATATGAAAACAAAATCATGCATAGGGTTTTTTCCCCATTTAAATAATATTTTATTATCTTTTTAATGGAAAATGATGAAGCATATTTTACTCCAACTTGATAATTTCTTATCAAATTGGCAGTTTTAGTTTCATGCTTTACAAAGTGTCAATAGAACCTTTATATTCTAGCTATTCTATTTTCTTTCTCTAGACTTTTTTTAAAAATTTTATTGGGAAAAACATATTGGGGGTTCAAGGAGGTGAGGGTTGAGGGCAGAAGGTGAGGTTGGGCAGGGATGAAAATTGCAGGTGTGCTGTTGCTAAGCTCCACAATTTGGTTGATGGGGGGAGCAGGTGAAGGAAATTAAAAGGATCCAGTGGGGACCAAATGCCACAGGAGAATGGTAAGCATATTCCAATGGTGATTAAATAAACTGTCTTAATGATTTGGGAACTGGATGCAGAATCTCTGGCTTCTTCATGTTGAAGGGGGAAAGGGAGGACACTTTATCACCTTACTGGTGGTCTTGGGTTAAAGCTGCTTGCCTTCTTGTTCTGTTAGAAGATACTTTCCTGACATTTCTCCCCTCTGGACTGCAAAGTGTTTTTCTAGGTGGGTCCAGTGGGGATGGCTGGTTGAACCCACAGGCTCCATCCTCCTTTGCTTCCTTAGCTGTCAGTTGTATTTCCTTTTTGTCACTGGCACTGGGTTCAGGGTCAGGTCTGGAGTAAAACTCAGTGTTAAGGTTACCTATAGGAAAGGGAGCAAACCTAGAGAGAACAAACTTGTGAGTTACAAATAGAAGGGCTTTGGGGGTGTTACTTTCAGGTTTACTGGGGAGAGGGTGGTGGAAAGTAGCCTAGATAAAATTCTCTGGATACCATAGGCATTTTTTTCTACCCTGGGGTCAGATGGCACAACTTGGGGACTGAGGAGCTCACCCTGAGGGCCACGACGGCCCGCCTCAAGTCAGGGGCCAAAGATGGTGTGCCCAGAGCAGGGCAACACCCCCCAGAGGCTAGCTGACACACCCCCAATCACCCCCACTCCAGTTTTTACCCTCCTCCTGACTGAAGAACATGTATCCAGGGACAGTATCCTCAACTCCAGTACCACCACCTTTAACCCCCCCATAAGTGGTCATACTGTAATTTGAAGTAGGTGTCATTGCCCTCCCCCTTTATAAATGACAAAGGATACCTAAGAGTCGTGAATAGACTCCCCCTAGGTCTAAACAGCTTTTAGCAGAAGCATTCAACAGATCAAAATATGTGGTGAATTTAGGATGTTGGTCCTCTTGGACATGCTGCCACTGTTAAGTGTCATCAAGTAGACAACTCACAGTGACTTTCAGCAATCCATTGTATCGGTGATCTTCTTCTCTGACCTGTACAAGGAAACTCAAACCTGTAGGTGGCCGGGCATGCATCTCCCGTGGGCGGCCGCCTGTTTCTCCTGCCGCCACCATCATGGCTCCAAGAATTCTCCCCAGAACAAGTTCACTTTGCAGCAGTGTGGTGGCTCCACTGCACCAGTCTCAGGGAGGCCCAGTGCCTACCATCCACTCTGGGTGAGGGGATCCCTGGGTTGGGTTCCGGCTTGTGGGAGCCTCATGGAGCTATGGTGGTGGTGAGGTGCTGGCTCGGCAGGAGGGGGCTGGGAGCTGCAGGACTCTCTCATTCCTCCTTGGGAACCCTTGAATTCCTGTTGTTGATCCTTGATCTTCACTGAAGACCAGTCATCAACTGGTTAACTGTACAATTATCAATAAACAGAGGTCTGTAGAAGGCCATAGTGGCCCTTCTCCAAGTGGTCCACTGCTCTCGCAGCTCACCACGTTGTCTCCGCCTCCACTGCCATCTTGGATCCTTTCGCTAGACTTTTAAAGAAATGCTTAGATTAATATCCATTCATCTTCTTACGCTTTTGCGTTAGGCTGTAAAGTAGTTTCTCAATTTCCCCCCCATCTTGTTGTTGTTGCTGTTATGTGCCATCTAATTACCTGTAACTCATAGCAACCCTATGTGCAACAGCTCTGAAGCCTGCCCTGTCCTGAGCCAGTCTGATTCTGACACACCTATCCCTATTTCCCCAGTTACTGTGTCAATTCATCTCATCTGGGATCTTCCTCTCCTATAATATCTCTCCACCCTTCTGAGCATGATGTCCGTCTCCAAGACCAGTCACTCTTGGACACATGCCCAAAATATCTGAGATGGAGCTTCAATATCCTAGCCTGCAAGGAGAACCTTGGTTTCACCTTCTCCAAACAGACTTGTTTTTTTCTGTTGGCTTTTCATGGTATGTTTAAGACTCTTCTCCAGAAACACAACTCAAAGTCATTTATTCTTCTGTCATTCTTAGTCATTTTCCAGTTCACTGATGCATAGCAAGTAATTGTAAAGACCATGGACTGAATAAAGTGCAACTTAGTTTCTAGACTGACATCATTGCTTCTTAGTACTCTGGAGAAGTACCTAACCACAGCTTTTCCCAATGCAATTAGTCTTTTGATTTTCTGAATGCTAGTATGAAGAGTGCTTTTTGTGGAGCTGAGCAAGTTGCAATTGTTAACAACCTCAATCTCTTTTCCATCTGTCATGGTACTACCAGTTGACCTAGTAGTGAGAACCTTTGTTTTCTTGATGTTGAGCTTCAATCCATATTGAAAACTACAGTCTTTGACTTTCTGCAGCAAATGTTTCAGGTCTTTCTCAGTTTCTACAAGCAACATTGTATCGTCTGCATATAGCAGATTCTGGATAGGTCTTCCTCCAAACCTGATGCCACATTTCTCCTCATAAAGCCATCTTAGTAACAGAAAAAGTAACTGTATATGTTCTCAAACTCCCCATTTTATAAACCCAATCATGTGTCTGTGAGTTGGAAGCAATAAGCCTCACCTCTTCTGGCATTAATTGTGAGAGGACCAGAAGCAGTATTAAGGCAGCCAATCTGACTTCTGACTAGTTCATAAAGGGGAACTATCTCAACCAATAATATCCCTAGTAGCAAATAGCTGTTTGTTCAGACATGGCACCCCCATGCTCCTGCACCTGTTTTTGCCAGTAATTCATGTCTGATATTTGTTGTTGATGTACAGGCTCTACCATAGTTGTGCGGTTTATTAAGGAAAGAAATTGGAGAGTGGAGGAGGCAAAGAATATCACTCAATGTATGTCCAAGTATAGTTAAGCAGCCACAAGCCAGATTAACAGCAAAACAAAATTCCTCAATTAGTAAAAGTCCTGGTTCATTTCAGTAGCACAAGTCCAAATCATACAAAACATATTGTCCATAGCATTTCAGGAGTCAGCTTTTCCTTCAATCATTTGGCAAGCAAAACCATTAAGTGTGGTCAACACAAGTCCAAGAAACATCAGATTATACCTTGCCACAGTCTCTCCACAGTAATGCCACAGTTTCTTGACAATCTCTCTACCATTGTCATCACCTAGGCCTTGTTATACAGTGAGGAAAGCACTCTCTCTTATCCTAATCCCACAGCAGTTGATGATTTGCAAGACCATGGGTCTGTAGTTAAGGTAGCTGGATGCCAGCAGGGGCTAATATAATGGTTAGAGAAGACAACTTTTAAATTGATAACATAGTGATATGTATTAAGTATATGTTCTTTGTCTTTGGGCTGAATTTTTATACAGAATAAAGATAGGAAACCTAATTTAAAAAAATACTTTTAGAAATACTAGTTTGCTGTATCTTTGTGAATATGGTTTACTATAGTCTTTAAAAATGCTTTAAAATGTCAATATAGTTATAGTTATAATTATTAATTATAACAATATATTTTTATTATCTGAGAACTTCTTTTAATTTTAGGAAGAAAAAGATGATGACAATGATTTTTCATGGGCCTGGAAGATAGTATACACATATATAAAAATCCTTACAGAAATCTGCTTATATGCAACGACTTCTTATTTGAGAAAAACTGCTTTTATTGGTTTCTGTGACTGTAAAACTTCACAAAGAAGTATTTCACACATAGAGAAAAAATCAGAAGATGAAGGAATATTAAAGGATGGGAGTATTTTAAATCTTTGGAAATATTTCTCTTCAAAATTCTCAGAAAATTGTAAGTAAACTTTTGTCCAACTCATGAGCAGTATTTCTAAAAGCTCTATACATAGTAATAATTCTTTTGTAAAAAGTTCAATTTTTGGAGTGAGGGATAACTTTAATAAAAGTTCAATGTATATGAATTATTGTATAAAACACAGTGTACATGAACAAAACATGGTGCAAAGGAAAGGTTATAAAAAACACAGTGTATATACATTATACACAATGTATATGATTGTATACAAACCTATATAATATGTAAAAAATAAAACCTTCAAAATTAATATCTAATAAATAGCACAGATTTTTTAAAAATTTTTTAAACATTTAAATAGAAACTAAATTTAGTTGTGATTCAAATGATATTTCCTGAGAAGAACAGATGACCTTAGACTGTTGTGAAAAATAAAGTTGCTTTTTTTCTTGATTTTTATTCAGTTCCTCTAATGGTTTCTTTGCTTCTCTCTCCCCTTTATACTAACCATTTAGTCTTTATCTCATACTTTCTTCTTGTTTGGAGAATTACTCTGAAATTGTTCACTCTAATAACATGTTACATCTTTTACATTTGGCATAGTATTATAAATAGATATTTTAAGATTAGTATAACCTTGTAGGGTTTCTCAGAATTGATTATATGGGCAGAGAAATCTGTCTCTTTAGAAATTATGTAAAGAACTTAGCGTTGCTTAATTGAACATTCTTCTTCATAATTTTAAATTTCAAATAGGTCATTATTTAAAGTGAAAGAACCAGCTCTGAAATCACACAGGCTTGTATTTTTTCACCCCACAGGCTTACAAATTAATTCAATCAATAGTATCTCTCAGAATTTTAGGTCAAAATTTAGTCATGCAAAAACTTGTTTTTTTACTTAATAAATTACTATAATGTATTACCTATTTCTTAAAATATTATATGTGGAAACATTAAAATTAGCATAAAACCTGGTACATCCTAAGCTTCAATGAATGCTCATATATGCTATGGTTGTTAGTGTAGTTATTAATGTGATTACAATAAGTAAATAACAGTATATTTTTGAAGGACACACTTTTTAAAATGTTTATTCCCATGTATGTTATAAAACTTGGGAATCCTTAGTTGATTTATATATAAAAAATCTCATAAAGTTTAAAAAAAAGTTAAGAAATAATTAAAGGTATCAATCAGTTTTCTTTTTTGTGTGTTTTGTTTTGTTTTTATTAAATTTTATTAATTTTAATGAACATTTACAAAGATTTTGGGTTTCCATTCATTCATTGTTGCACTATTTTCTCTACCCTCCTCCCCAGTTCTTTTCTCTTCCCTCCCTTGAAAGTCTGTTTAAATTATCCCATTGCCACAGAGCTTATCAAAACCAGTTCTGATTAATCTCCTTTGTCAGT